GTGATGAGTTAAATTTGAACTTGTTACCTGAGGGCAGTGGTTCTTAAACTTTAGTGTGTAGCAGAAGGCATTGCGGGCTTGTTAAAACTACCATTGGGTAGGTTGGGACGTGGCTCAAGAATTACATTGATGATAAGTTACCCTGCCGTGGTTTGGGGATCACACTTTGACGAGTGCTTAGGAGGAAAGAGTGCCACCCAGAGGATCCAGAAGGGACGGGACAGCTCAGGGAAAGCACGTCGCTTGAGAATGGTCGCCAGCCCACAGTGTTTCTGCAGCTGAGCTCAACAGGCTCACCAAAGGCACATGATTAGATCAAGATACTAGGATTTTTCCAGAGGGCCCAGTGAAGGGAAATTGAAGGGTTCTGACAAAAGAGTAGGGGACAGTGATTTATCGTGGGGCTTAAACTGATAGGGAAGTAAGTGAAGTGTGGTGGTGATCAAATCGGGATACCATCCTTTACAGTAGTATAGTCCTAACTTTTTTTTTGCAACTTGTAAAAAGAAATACATTTTACATTGTGACCCAGTCATACATTTTGTATAACTGAAGCACAAGTTTTGTTTTTTTATTATTTGCAATCCACTCTGATGTTCCTGTTTCTTAAAAAACAGTGCTAGTCATACATAGCTCAGTATTGATCTCACAACCTTGGTGGGTTGCAGCCCCTGGTTTGAAGTCATTGTTACTTTTCGAGATGGTCTGCCGAGGAGCTGGAAAGTGAGCGCTCCGGGTGGATGCCCCGTCCCTGGGAGGTGCAGGTGTTGGAAGTGGAGCCCTCTGGGAGGTACCCAGCCAGCATGACATGGAGCTAGTTATTGGTGGCAAGACTAGTGAGCTCTAAAGCCAATTGTTAGACAGCTTGTGTACATGGCCATCATAGTCCCATAAGGCATTGATAAGAATTTGGGGGTGAAAATGAAGGCTCTCCTCAGGATGGGTCACATCCCAAATCCATTACATTGGTTCTGGTGGACCCTTGTGCTGAGGGACTGCATAGATCTGTTGACACAGTGCAGCCTACTCCCCATTTTACCCAGTAACAGTAACATGCCAGCTGTTCCAGGGAATGCTGATTTGGAAGACAGGAAGGGTAATACACATATTTTTTTTTAGGCACATAAGCATGAGAGCTAATTCAAAATTTATGTGAGAACTATTGAACTGTCTTGTGTTAACAGTGCCTATTTTGTAGTAATCACACTATGTGAGAGATTCGGTCAGCACCTTGAAAGTATACGTACCTTCCACAGTGGAAACTGAAAGAAGAGAGGAGAGGTAGATGAAAGAAAAGAGGGGATGCAAACTCAGCAGTCCAAGCAGGTTTATTGCTAACCTGAGAGGGGACCCCTCTGTCCTGGCCAGCAGAACAAAGGAAAGGAAGCTCTAACAGGTCAAGAGGCTTTTTATGGCCAGGGTTTTTGGTGGGCTTTTTGGGGGGAGGGGTCTGGAAAGGTGGGCTTGTGGCTTGCCGACGTGTCCTCTGGAGAATACTTGTAGGCTAGGTAAGATGACACCTAGGTCTCTCTGTGATGGTGGGTGGGCTTATTCCAAAGGTGGTACTTAGGTCCAGATTCTGTCAGAAACACTGGGTGAAAAAAACACTGTGCCATGTTACCATTGTCCAAACTATATGAATACTATTTTTACCTGGTTAAAGTTTAGAAGAAACTTTAAAAACAATTTATATGGTTTTTAAAGTTTACAGTCGTTTTTAGTTTGGAAAAGATTGTTTGGAAGTTAATTGTGGAATATGGGGATATATTCCACATGGGAGAGCATGATTATTTGCCTTTCAGAATCTGAATTTGATGAGGACAAAGGACAAAATAAATGTATGAGGTTATAATGAGGGAGAGAGTTAACAAGTGAGCAACTAAGGAACAGAATTTGCTGTGGGTCAACAATGCCTTTGTAGCCGTAGGCAAATTGCATGAAAAACTTGACAGCTGAATCGCTGCTTTAAAGGATAAGGACGTCCCTTGAAGTTACCAGAAATTACTAGAACCAGAACTGAGAACACTTGGAGCAGTGGGATTTATTTGCTAAGATTAATTATCATTTAGTGCTGACTTGTGAAGATTTCAACCCTAGTTGTCTAATCTGCTTTTTAATGGAAATTGCAAAGAACTGCTGTGTCATAACAGCAACTATAGCCTTTCTGTCCTTTCTTAATTTAAATAATAATCTTCCTTAGGGGAGAGTCCAAGGGAGGAGAGACCCAAGGGAAACCTAGCTTTTCTTCAGTCCCACTTCTGCTAATGAATAATCCCTTTCTCCCAGGACCAGTCTGATTGAGAAATCCAGCTCCCTCCGGAAGGACTAGGGTTTTAAATTCTGGTGTCCCAGTTACTGGTAAAGGTGATAGTTTGCTGTCAACCTGCATTGAGATTTGGGTTGGGTTACATTGTCACTGCGAGAATGATTACTTGTGTTTTCAAGTTAAATCTTAATTTAGTCTGTCAAAAAGTTGATGTCCTTTATCATATGAACAAGAAACTCTTTGGATGTGTACTGGTAGTTGTATTTTTCAGCGTGGTCCCCTTGTTACTTACAGCGGCACTTGTACACTTGAGAGCTCATGCTGTCTTGTTTAATGTGTGTGACTCTTCAGTTTGGTAGTGGCTTCCTAAATGTCCTGCGGTAACTCCTGAGACTCCTTCCCACTCCTTCCCCGAGGTGAGGCTGCTGAGCCTTAGGGGCCGGCACGGAGAACTGGCCAGTCCTCTGCTCCCTGCAGGCTGTCCCTCTCTTTGGAGCTTGTCCTGTGTATCATACTTAAGCCCTTTCTTCCACTATTTTAATCTAATTCTACTTCAAGTTACAAGAATCCTTTCAACCCCTTTCTTTTTCCTTTGTAACTCTTGCCCATTTATCCTTTAGAAAAGCGAGGTTCTGCTTCCTTCCTCCCCGTCGCTCCATCCACACGCCCTGCCCCCACCCCCATCCTGCCCAAGGCTCCCAGGGCCACCAGAGCGCCTGGATGCGCCTACTCTCCAGAAGCCCGAAGGTGGCTTTCTCCCATCTTTCTTTCTAATTAAACCTCTTTTGTTTCAAGCAGGAGAATTCCTTTAGTCCTTTACATTTTTCAGTTGTGCTAACTTGTAAGAGAGGTTTTTTTCCCCTTGCTGTTTTTATTACATAAAATAGTTGTTACATTTTGAGCTAGAAGCTCTTTATAAGCTAGCTTGTGTAACATAACTTTTGAAGACAATCCATTTGAAATGGATGAGATTCCTGGAGGTGGGATCCATCCACCACAGGCAGGCTTATGATTGGGCACCAGTAAATGCTTAGTTATTGTTTCTTCTTTTGTATTTAACTGTGTTGCCTGATCACATATATAAAATTGAGATCTTTTGAAGTGTCTGAATGTATGAGAGAGCCCTTTGGAGGCTGGACTGGAATTTCATTCATTCGTTCATAAATCCAAGTATCTGCAGTGTGACAGGCACTGTATGAGTCTCAGTAAATAATTAATAAATGAAAATAATCTCTGTTAGGGAGTGGGTGCCACGGTAGATGGGCTGATCTTAGCCAAGGCTTCTCTGAAGAAGGGACATTTGAGCTCAGACCAGAATAACGACACAGTGAGTCATACATTCAGACATCTGGGGGTATGGCTAGAACAAAGGCGCGAAGGCGGGCAGGAACTTGGCAGGGACTGAAGGATGTGACTGGAGCCTGGGGAGGGACAGGGAGGAGGAGTGGCAGCAGCTGAGGCTAGGGAGGTAGGCAGGGCAGGGCCAGGGAAGGGTTGGGCCAGAGCTGGGAGGGCCTGATAATTGTGAGCCTTGATTAGGAGTTAAGAATTGATTCTGATTGCAATGAGGATTTTAAGCAGGGAAGTTACACTGAATTCTCTAAAGCTGTTGTAGGTTGCTTTATAGAGAATGATTGCAGGTTTTAATAATTCTAGAGACACTTTGAGTTGTGTGTGTTCTGCTGCTCAAGAGGAGTCAAATAGGCCTGCCAACCTGGGGGTTTCTAGTTGTCTCCCAGCAGCTATCACTTTAAAGTCAGCTGATAGAGTAATTAATTTGCAACTACACAGGGACTGCTTTTGGTGTTTCACATCCTGCCACCCATGAACCTCTCCATGGTTTGGAAGATGGCAGGCACAACCTAAACCCCAAGAGTGTAAGACTCACCAGACTCTCCTTGGCTCTCCCCGCAGATCCTTTGAGATGGAAGTTCAGTGAGAAAAGCAAGCAGGAGCAAGTGTAGTGCCCTGAGGAAGTACAAGAGGAGGCCAGGCTTGGGGTGACATGGGGGAGGGACCATTTCCTGTTTCCGGGATGTGGTGTTGCCCTGTGTCATCTCAGGACTTCCTGTTCTAAAGGCTGCTGGTAGGAATTTTAGGTCACAACCGGAGGAGTGAGAATTTAGGCTTCTAGTTCTTGCTAATTGTTAACATTACATCCTCATTATTAGTGGTGATTTTGTAAAGTCCAGAACATTTCTTAATTATCCTTTGTGTGCCGTGCCTTTCTAGGCCTTCCGTAGATACTGAAAGTTTGATACAGGATTTCTTCTACCTTACAGGAGTTTTTAAGATCTTTGTTACATAATTTTAAATCACCCATTTAAAAAAGCTGGACCTGGTAACACTCCTAATGGTCATATATCAAAGAGCCCAAAGAAATAAGTCAGCGCCTTACTAATTTCTATATTAAAGTTAATACCCAGATTTCAAGGACACCAGAGGAAATTAGTTTAGCTGAGATGATATTTAAGAGTTTGTTACCTAAAGCAGATTATGTGAGTGGTTTGTTGGTCAGTGACGTTTGTTAATGTCACAAAAACTTTTAATTTGTAATAGCTTAATGAAATTTATTTCCCTTTTTTAAATTGCCCACAAGCTAATTAAAGAAATGTTTTCTGATCCCAATACCTTCAGTTGCTTTAACAGTTACAGTGTTTTTTGTAAAATAGTAGAATTAAAGTTCTTTACCTTAATGTGCTTATATATACTGAGCTGTTGCTCTTTTTTATAGGGAAATCCTCTTTGACGATTCAGTTTGTTGAAGGCCAATTTGTTGACTCCTACGATCCAACCATAGAAAACAGTGAGTATTGTTTTCAAGGTTTTATAAACTGAGAAGCCCGCATTCTGCATATAGACGGCCACAATGCATTCCTGGGGTCTCATTGCAGGGTCAAGGGATAAACCTATATATGTCCAAGTGGGGGCCAGAAAAGGCTTCCAAGCCCTTTACCCACTTTACATTGAATGCATTTGTATTCTGTGTCCAGGTCCTTCTAGAATTCGTTATTCAGTTCCATGGAGATCCAGTCCTATCCTGGAACCTTGTATTCTAGACTCTGCTTCAGGAAAACAGGCATAAAGCACACAGTGTTTTTTTTTTCCTTCTCAACAGTAGCCATTTTTAGAGATTCCACGCTTGAAAAGAAAGGATGAAAACACTCCAGATCCTTTGAACCTTAGTCTTACAGAAGCAGTGGCCCCCCTAGCCTCTTTGATTCCTGAAGACTTGAAAGAAGGCTGTGGAGAAAGGAGCTATTCTGGGATGGAGAGAGCAGTTGCAGCATTAAAACAGCTCCGTAGCCTGTGACATTTCAGGCCATGTGCACAAAAAAGGATCAGAGCCAGCTGCAACCTTCGTCTTGTCCAATTTCAGTCCATGGTTTCAGAATCTTCCTGAAAGATTGTAGGACCATGAGACAGTTCTTGATTCTAGGGATCATTCCTCGTCAAGAGGAGAACCTGGAACACCTCCATCCAGGGAAGGTGGACTTGTTTCAGGCTAACTTAGAGACCCAGGTAGGCCCAGGGACAGTCCTTGCAGATTCTTGACACTTGGCTTACCTAGGCTTTGTCACCATCTTCATAAAGATTTAAACACAGGATTCATCACAGCCTGACTGGCACATTCGACATGAAGCCAACTGTAACAGCCAGGTTCGTAAGCTTTAACAGCTAGCTGCGTAGACTTGACCTGCTCAACACTTGCAGGAGAAAGACATGAACAGAGGCTTACAGCAGGGTGTTGATTGAACTACTATGACTCTATGCCAGAGAGACCCACTGCCTTTTTGTACAGCCCATGAACAAAGGACGGTCTTTACATTTTTTGATATTTGAAAAAAGTTAAGAATAATTATGATGTGAAATTACATGAAATTCAAATTGCAGCATCCATAAATAAAGGTTTATGGAAACACAGCCATGATTATTGACTTACAAACTGTTTATGGCTGCTTTTGCTCTACAGTAGCAGAGTTGTGGAGTAGTTGCAACAGAGACCATCTGGCCTAAAACATTTACTGTTGGCCCTTTACAGGAAGGGTTTGCTGACCTCTGACTTAAAATACTTGGCAGTCCTTTGGGTCCCAGTGTGCTGGTGGCAGGGAAGGACGCCTGGTATGCTAAATTTCGGGAAGACCTGTGTGTGAAAGCAACCTCTGCTGATACCTGGAAGGAGTCCAAACTACATCCATCTTGGGTTGATTTGTTTAGCATACAGAATAGTATGCAGGTATCAGGAGGAGATAACTTTGAATGCTAGGTGAATGGGTTTGGCTGTCTCCATTGTAAAAAGAATATAAGAAAATGATGATCTTGGCCTTAACATTTGCTATATATAGCAGTTTAGAATTTTGTGTCCTTAAAGAGATGATAAGGCTCATTTGGGAATTTTATTCCTAAAACAATAGAAGATGGTTTTGGTAGACTTTGCTCATAAAAGTGTTTTTAATAGTTTTGTGTCTTTGTGCCGTTTAAAATTGAGGTGGAAGGAAAGACATGGTATTGTAAAGTTTTTAAGCAAGAACAAAAATATGTATCAAGAGTATATGAACCCCTTAGGAATTCACAAGGCATATTCAGACATTAGTTTCTGTGTACCATGCTTCTGACAATCTTAACAGGCAGAAACCATGCCTCTACCCTTCCCCTAATAGTTAGTAGTAAAGATTGTTCAGTAATAGCAGGGAATTAGATGAACTTAAATGTCTTCAAACACAGGAAAACAAACTCCTTCACAGTAAGAAAAATACTGAGATAATATTTTTCACTAAGCAGATTGGCAAACATCAGAAGACCTGGTAACACACTGTGTTGGTGAGGGTGTAGTGAGCAGGCATTCACTCACTGCTGGTGAGGGAATTAGATGGGACAGTTAACAGAAACTTGCTGCTAGCAACATAAATGGATGGTTTTATTATTTAAAAAAATAGTACTCTATACATCTGGAAATAATCCAGTAATTATTTTACACTTTATAATATAGAACAGGTTATTCATAGCAAATACTCAGTGGTGACACATCTCTATGAAGTATCACAGCAAAAGCAAAAAATTCTGGGACTAAGTCATCTTTTAAAGTGGCATGTAGGAGTGTAACATCAATAAAAGCCACGTATTTTCTAGTTGGGTGAAATTTTTAGATAAAAAGTATTGCCTGTACAGATTTGTGCTCTGTTATCCACCGTAGTGTTAACCTAACAGCTCAGTACAAACCAAATTGATATGATGAAATTGACTGGGAGTTTATAATTTAGAGGAAGCATAGCAGCAGTTTACAGATTGTGCCATCTCAAGGTAGTGCTGTTGATGAATTAATAAAGCTCCTCTCAGAAAATCGGGAGATTCTACTTGGGAGTGCCGTTATCAGCGTCATGTGGTGGGTGGCTTTCTCCATGGGCTATGAACTAGGAGTTCTCAGTACACTTGAGTTACACAAATCTCAACTTTGAGATAACAGATTTTAGAGATCGCTATTATCTTTCTTATTAGTAGGTTTTACCAGTAAGTAGCTGTTCCTCTCCTTAGGGCCATTTCAGGATTTGACACTGGGAATTGGATTAATTTCTCCAGTGATTGAAAAAGGGAAGGGGAGGGTGTTTAAGGAAAGAGCTCTGGAGAAAGTCAATGTTCCTTTCCTACACGAGGTTGGAAGGAGAGGGTGTAGAATGTGTTCCTAGCCTGCGGAACTGACAGACATCTTTTATTCCGCCTCCTTGTTTTCTATAGTAACAAGAAGAGGCAGTTTTCCCATAGCAGATGGAAGGTCCTCAGTTTCATTTTACCGCTGTGTGTAGGAGGACTTAAATCCTTTTTATGCTCAAGGGTATACTAAAATGTTTATTAAATATTTTATTTCTTTTGTATCTTACGTACAATTGCATCTTTTCCCTTTTCGGTTACCTCATGGCCAGGACTTCCCTGGTCTCCGTGGCTGGTCTTCCTTTCCCTGACCTGAGGGTGTAGAGTGCCCTAGGCTTCCGTATCAGGCTTAGGCTGTCTGGGCCCTTGGCCTCTAGTGATCTTCCCCTCTCCTCAACAATGTACTTATCCGGCCCCCACCTCTCCGCTGAACCTTGGGCTTTTTTATTTAGCTGCCCTCATTTCCCCTTAGGATTGAACCTACCTAAAACCCAGCTCTCAGTTCCCTGCCTTTCCCTTCCACGGTGCTCCTCCCACAGGCTCCTCCAGATTGAGAAATAGCAGCACAGGCATCTGGCTGCTGGGGCCAAAAACCTTCAGAGTCCTTCTGCCCCTCCATTCTCCCACATCCTGCCCCCAGTCAGTCGAAAGTCCTTTCAGTTCTGCCTTTGAACTACATCCAGAATTCCACCACGTCTCACCCTCCATTTCTACCCCTCTGGTCTGAACCACCATCATCTTTAGGTGATGTTGGCCTATAAACCACTATATTGTGGGTCCCCACCAGTGTCCCTAGTCCCTTTCCGTTAATAGCATATCCACAGAGTGGTCTTTTTAAAATTGCAGATCAGATTAGGTACTTCCCTGCCTCAGAACCCTAGCTTTCCTATCACATACAGAGTAAAACCCCCAAGTCCTTACTGTGGCCTGGAAGGCTGGCCTCCTCCCCAACCTCATTACCTCCCCGCCATCCTCCCTCAGCCTCAGCTGCACTGACCCTGCTTTTCCTCAGTGAGCCTGTTCACTTGCTGCGTAACCTCTGCCTGGGTGCTCTTGTCCCAGAGGACCTCCTGGTGTGTTGCCCGCCTGCCTTCACCGGGAGGCAGGCTCTGGGGGATCTGGGAGTACAGTTCCTGAGCACCGGCAGCGGGTGCTGGTGGTGACGGCCGGCGCTTAAGCAGTAGTTCCTGAGTTAGGGGGTGAGGTTCTGTTGGAATGCTCTTTTCCTAATAATCACCTTATACTTCATAACCACGGTTACGTAGTCTAATGGAAGGTACGTGTTTTATTGCTCACCAGTGTTTCTTAAATAATTTCACCCAGTTTAAAATGTGCTTCTTGATCTCACCTGACTGAGGTGTCCCTGGCAGGTTTTCTCACAGGAATGTCACCCCTGCCCCCTGGCTGACAATGATGGAAAGCACAGTTGATGCAAGGTGCATCCCAAGTCCAGAGTGGTTACAATGCAAAGAAAAAAGTATTTTTTCTTAGAAGTGATAAAACAGGCTCTATCTTGAAATATTCTGATTCAGTTTTCATCTGGTGTAACTGTTCCTTAAAGTGATCTCCAGAATTTCTAGAAAGGGCACGAGAATGATAACAGTATGGCATTTGGCTTCAGTAGCCTGGGTTCTGATCTTTACTCACCTGCTCCTAGCGTCCCTGCTTGCATTAGAAAGGCATGACACTCCTCGAGCTGCTGTCAGTCGGCCTTCCTCTCCCTGCAGAGCTCACACGTGAGATGAGGTCTCTCTCTTCTCCTTGTCACTTTAGGTTCTCTCCCATCGTTTTCGTCTGGTTTTGCTTTCCATTTTGGCTGAGGGTCAAAGTGGGCAGAAGTGGGTCCCCTCAACTGCCAGGGGTAGATTGTGCAGCTACACCGCCTCCAGTCAAGTCAGTGGCAGGCCAGGAGATGCGAGGAAGGACACGTTGCGAATCAGACAGCTGGGACCCAGCATGCAAGAGAAATCTGGTCCGTCTAGTTGTTAGGGTTCCAGATGGTTACTTTTTAATATTCTGTTGCTATTAATAGTTCTTTCCTCTTTTGTCTATATTTGTTTGAAGTCTGTCTCCTTAGAATTCTGAATTGAGTTTTCCGGAAGTTATTTGAGTCTGATCCTTTTTCCCTTGCTAGGGAAAAGAAGTTATGACATACTGCTTGGATCCTGAAGCTAAAGTGGGAATGATGGCTTCACACAGAACATCTGTTCCCATTGCCATTTTATCTGTTAATAAAATTATTATTTGTTTTTATGTACTGAAAGTTCTAAGCACTTCAGTTAACATTATTAGCTCTTTGTGCTCTGACACTAGACTTCTATAAATTAATAAAAAGTTTTGTGCTTTTGGTTCATTCTAGGCCTCAGACTTGATGTAATATGTTTCATGTTTTCACAAGAGGAAGGAGCAGCCACAGAGCATTCAGATTACTTTTACAAGATGTGATTGTTGCTTCATTTCAGTTTCTTGGGGAAAGGTTCAAGGTTTACTCAACCTTGATTTTAGTCAGTTAGACAGTGATTCTTAATAGAAGTAGGGAAGTATTTGTGAACTCAAAGATTTGCTCCTTTTTTGTTTTGTGGCACATATTTAGGACTGCCTGTTGGTTGTCACTGTTCAAGCTTTAAGTGGCCTAAAGTCAATTTTTCTAATACTTAATTTCCTTTTTCCCTGTAGCTTTTACAAAATTGATCACAGTAAATGGACAAGAATATCATCTTCAACTTGTAGACACAGCTGGGCAAGTAAGTATCTCTAATATCTGAGAGTCTCAGATAGCGTATGTGGTAGTCCAGGCCCTTCCACTGATACTTAAACATAACAGCAGTGCCAGGAAAACCCAGGTAATTGATGGGTAATTGGCTATTAATAGGCTACCTACTTTGTCTTTTCTAAAACATTTATGGCAGTTTTTTAAAATAATTGTTTGCTTGAGAATTGTTTTCAAATATATTCATAACATTGGGAAGGTTTGTATTCTGGGATAGTGGTTTTCTATTTTCTAAATTTTAATTCTCTATTTGAGAATCATTAGTGCTTTTCCTCCCTTTGCAATACCTATTCTACATGAACAACAAATAAACCTTTTCTACGAGAAAGGTATGGGGCAGAAATTAGCTGGTTTACATGTGGATTATAGGATTACTAGGTTAAGGAGAATCAGTTTGATATGCTAGACAGTAGATAATAGCCAAAGGTTGAGTAACCCCACCCCACCCCACCCCGAAAAAAGATATTCATAGGTTACTGTAGCAGTGGTGCAAGGGATGGATGGCCAGGGGAGCCTGGAAGCAGTCAGGGAGAAGAATTGAGAAAACTTAACGGGAACAAAGAAACCCTTTAGACAGCCTAACTTCCCCATAACCTGGCACCCAGTGCAGTGTCTACTAGAAAAATCAGTTAGGCTGAATTTACAGCGGTTCTCTGGAGAGTGGAGCTGGGGTGTCGGTGTCTTGTAATCGACAAAAGAGCAAAGCAAAAGGGGGGTGAGTGTGGTAGAATCTGATGCTGTGTTAAGGGGAGGCTCTTTTCTGGAACCTGGGGAGATTGGGATAGACCTAGAATGACGTGGCCTGGTCTGTGGGTTTGGAATGAATTCCCTCTGCTTTGTTTTAAAGTGAACATAGAATGAAAGTGTAACCCCTAGTGAAGCAAGAAAATAGCTGTATTGAGTGGGTTTTAGCACTAAAGAGACCCTGGAGTTTCAATTCTGTGCAACTTCAAAGAAAACCAAGCGAGTGAGTATCTCATAGAGATAAGCATGTAACTCCTCCATCCGCCCTGCACAGTCCCCCAGTGGTGGGGGTGGTTGGCTTTCGTCGTCAGACCTCATGGTGGCTTCCTTAGAGCAGAGCCCTCCCAGGCTTTCCCTCTTCAGGGACCTGTCCAATGGCAGGAGGGCAGTTTGGAGCTTGCTGAGCCCCGGAAGTCTCCCTGGGGAAATGGTGACAGCTTTTATCTTAGGAGTAGTGTGGAAGAGCCTCTGGGTGGGGCTTTGTGGTGGATTCCTAGGGCTTGTATCTTTCATAGTTAAGGTGACTGTAATTTATTTCCTAAAATAAGACACTTTTAAGAGTTATGGGGGCACTGGTTATAGTTTCACTGGACAACAGGTATAAGTTGAGAGAGTCCTGGGCAAAGAAATATGGCCCCATTGTTCATAGTGGGACTTCGACAACGTGGAGGGTTTGGTTTGCTTTTATGTCTTTGTTTTGAATTTTTATTAAGTTCCTGGAGAGTGGGGATGAGGATGTGAACTGGTAAACACTTCCGTGTAATGTTACTGTAGAAATACACTGTATAGTTGGCCAGACGAGAACCACTATTTCAGAGTTGTTTGAGGGCTCTCTAGTCTTGCTGCCTGGGTGTGAACCCTGACTTTTCTGACTAATCCAGTGACCTTGAGAAAGTTCATAAGCTTTCCTGTGCCTCCGATCCCTCACCTAGAAGCTGGTGATAATTGTGGTGCCCACCTCACAGGCTTGTTCTGTGGTTAATGAACTTAACAGAGGATTTGATTCTTATTTGTAGCATCTTTGATGCTCCTGAGGCTAGAGCAGTGCCAGCACACAGCTCAGCTGATGTCAACACTGAGGGGGATCTGTGAGTAGAGCTGGCCTGGAAAACATGGCTCTGGAGAGAAAACTGTCCTTACCAAAATAGAAGATGTGAAAAAAAAAATAGAAGATGTGTTCCTCTGAGGTTTTGTTTGGCTCTAAAGCATAAATGTACACTTGGCATCACACCTTTACCTTTTAATGATAGAATAATATGAAGAATGACCCCCAGATCAGAGATCTCAGGGAGTGAGTGTACGGGTGAGGGGCGGCAGTATCAAGGTTGCTCCTTTGGGTTCTGTTACCACCATATATGAATATTGAGAGAATTTTTGCACTAAATGTGTCCATATTAAGCTACCTTGAATAATTTGTTCTCATTGCAACAAAGTAAAGGCTGTATTCACAGTTGGGAGGCTATTAAATGAAAGGTTATCCTAGTATTTCCAATTCATGGCGGCACAACGAAGGCATTCCAGCTGCCGTGGGCCGACCCTCGCTCTGTAGAAGCTGGATGAGGAGATGTGTTGCTGCACCCAGAGCAGTCTTTGCATGTGATTCCTATGGGCTGGGATTGGGTGAAGACTGCTAGCCATGGAGGAAGGTGTTAGGGGCAGATTCTCCAAGCTGCTTCCAGTTACTAGTATATGCTTCCAAGAGGCTTTGTACAGGAACATGCAAGTTTAGTTTTAAGGTATTTTTTTCTCTTTACGTGAAAAGTAACTTATCTCTGTATGTCCATTTTGGAGATTATTCCATATCAGTTCATACAGCCTGTTTTCTCCCCCTGGCTGATAATGAATGCCCTGTTGTTTGGATGGCCTAATGTAACTATTGATCATCAGTTAGGCTCTTCCCAGCCTTGCTGCCACTGACAGTGCTGCCCTCAGTATCTTGTGTCATTGTAGGCAGGGAGTAGTGTATGTAAGCTATCTGCCTGGATGTGGGGCTGCTGGCTCGGAGGGTCCCCGTTTGCATTCTCACCAGCAGTGAGTGCCTGCTCACTACACCCTCACCAACACAATGTGTTACCAGGTCTTCTGATGTTTGCCAATCTGCTAGGTGAAAAATAGTATCTCAGTGAAGTTTAGTATTTTTCTTACTGTTACGGAGTTTGTTTTCCTGTGTTTGAAGACATTTATATTTCCTTGTCTGAATTATCCTGTCTGTGTACTTTGCCCTGTTTCTCTGGGGTGGTTGGTCTTTGCTTATTGATTTGAGGGGCCCTTTCATATGTGGAGACAGTTACATTTTGTGTATGACCTGAATTTGCAGGGTTTAGTTTTGTTTTCAGTTTATTTTGTTGGTGGTTTTTATTTGTACAGTTTTTAACCATGAAGAACTTCTTCAGTTTCACAACATTGAATTTATTAATCTCTTTTTTAACGTAGTGTAATTTTAAAAAAATTCTCCCATCTACTATACACATAGATTCAATTCTCATCTTTAAATGTTTGACTCTTCTAGAATACATTTTTGTTAAGGTGTGACTTGGAGATCCAGCCTGACTGTTCACCCCTAGATGGCTCAGCATTTGTTCCCTATACATTTTGTTGAGAGTTCTTTTTTACCCTTACCAAGTTGAAATGACAGTGTCATGCCAATATACCTAATCTATTTGGGTCTTTGTAACCTACCCAGGAGGAGCTAATCATGAGCCAGTATTATAATATTTTAATTACTGTAGCTTTAGAGCTTTCAGCCCACCTGCCTCTGCAATTGTTATTCCCTCTCAGAAAGTATACTTCTTTATTAAGATCATACCACATTTGTATATTGATTCAGGATTAATCAGTGGATAGCCTTATGATTTCACACTCTTGCTGAAGCCCAGTGCATGCTGTTCCATTTAAGTCTCCTACAAACTCTTGGGAGAATTTTAAGATTTTCTTCAGGTGGATCATACACGTTTATTTTCTTAAGTTTATTCCTAAGAATTTTGTCCTTTTTGGGTTGCTGTTACAGCTAGAGGTCTTTTATATTTTCTAACTAGTTTTTTGTACCGTGCTTCTTAAATGTGATTACTCTTTATTTCCACACCTTCCCTTCAGGGAAAAGGCAGTTTGAACTTTGGATCTACTGTAGCTGAGCTGGTGACTAAAACCACTTGAAAATTTGCTTTTAATATGGGTGGAATGATCTGTCATTCCCAGTAACAAAAATTTGTTTTCAAAAATCAACACTAAAATGAATTCAACTTAATGAAAGTCATACTAATAATAAAAATAAAGGTTCTGGTTTTGCCTATGTACTAAGTTCTGTGATAAAGAAATGCTATTTTCTGGTTAATGACTACTATTTATGATATCAAGGAGTTGATAGTAAAACTTAATTTTCCTGATTTTTTAAGACACTTTACTGTGGTTAATCATAATTCAGGGCAATGATTTGGAGCACCATGGGCATTATAACCATATTTTTGTGGAATTTTGGAATTACAGAATTGCAAAGTTAACAAAGACAGTTACTTGATAAAAGAGGGGCTTGACATGATTTTATATACTAGTGCTTGGGACATTTCACATACTGACAGTTATATTTCAATGGAGAACAAAATGTTTGTATCAGACAGTGGCATTCACTAATGAAAACCACACCAAAGTTAAAGACCTTTTGTGGCTTTAATAACTCTGTCTAAAGCAGTTTGGTAAAGCTGCTTTGTAAATCTGGGTGCTACTAGTGCATTGTTGCATAATATATACCTTTGTTTTGTTTTTGTTTTTGTTTTTTTGGTATCATTAATCTACAGGTACATGAGGAACATTATGGTTACTAGACTCCACCCATCACCAAGTACCCCCCACATACCCCATTACGGTCACTGTCCATCAGCATAGGAAGATGCTGTAGAATCACTACTTGTCTTCTCTGTCTTGTACAACCCTCCCCATGCCCCCCCCACATTATACATGTTAATCATAATGCCCCGTTTCTTCCCCCCACCTTATCCCTCCCTTCCCTCCCATCCTCCTGTATACCTTTGTTTTTAATTCGTAAAGTTGCTCAATAAATAACTCATTTGATTGTCAAAAGTCTGGGTACACTGAGTTGAGTCTAGTGTTTTGATTCTTTTCTCTCTTACTCTCTCAAGTGCTGGTGGCAACCCACTAACCACTGGCAGGTTGGTGCTTAGGCCATTGTGACTTACGTGTAGAGAACAGGTCATGATGATAGAACAATATTAGATATAAAATGCACATTTATTTATAAATAAACCAGTAGTACTTATAATTTCCCTGTGAGATCTAAGAAGTTCTAGACTTTTTACTATAAAAGAAACATGGTTTCCTTCATGGGACCAGTCATCCTGTCATGCCTCCATCCTCTTCTCCCAGGAATTACCAAAGTTGTTAGTTTTACCCCAATAGTCTTTGAATAGCCAGAGTCATTTTTGAATACTGGCTTAAAGCACATTATCACCTCCAAACCAAGTTAAATAAATCTTGGCTAGGTAAGCTATGTTTCTAGAATAATATTTTAATGCAGTTTTCATTTACTTTGATTGTTTTGACCAGGAAATAGGTGAAAACCTTTAGGTAAAGTTTGCTTGTTATGCATTATGAAACTTCACTCAGATGTCATTATTTTTTGTCCCACAGGATGAATATTCCATCTTCCCTCAGACGTACTCCATAGATATTAATGGTTATATTCTTGTATATTCCGTTACATCAATCAAAAGGTGAGCCTCACTTCTGCAGCAGACGTGAGCTTATTTGCTATGGTTCATCTTGTCATGGGATTACTCAGGAATCGGTGATGGTGACAGTTAGACTTAATTATTAGGCTGAATGTTTTTTAGGATTGTCTAGTGGAGCAGTTTATAAAAGGAAAAAAGTTACCCCACAGGTATTCTTTCCCTCTGGTGGAGTAAAAAACTTTCTTACCTCAGCTGACTACATAAATGGTCATTGAACATGATCAGAGCCATTCTGCTATTGAAATGGGAAATACATAAATTGCTTTACATTTTGTGTGTTTTTACCATATTAATGTGGAACACGGGCTGACTGCTACGGCCCTCTAGCTAAAAAATGTTCTACACATGTTTGTTCAGAGATGACAATTGGTGTTTATGTGGTTTGTCCACCCAGTGTTAGACTTTCCTATTTAAATGTCTCACCTATTTCACTTCAGATATTCTCAGTAAGGGTTATGCATGTCAAATGTGGAAAAGATTTGTAGGAAAAAATTAAGGAATTCTTTGTGTCTCAATTTTTTATTAAAATGTGAGTCTATGACATTTTAAGCTTTTCACACTATAAACATTACATCGCATTTTAAAACAACACTAAAATATGTGTCTGATTTCATACTTTTGTTTTATAGTTTTGAAGTGATTAAAGTTATCCATGGCAAATTGCTGGACATGGTGGGGAAAGTACAGTAAGTAGTAGTGACTTCTGTCTCTTGGTAGATGTTCTTATTATAATAGTACCTTCTGAATAATAGAATCTGATACTGACTAATTTACTTTGGCTTTTTTCCCCTTAAAATTAATAGAATACCTATTATGTTGGTTGGAAATAAGAAAGACCTGCATATGGAAAGGTACGTCACTTTTAATAATTACTGATTTATAAAGTCAAGTGTAAGGTGATTCAGTTGCTGAAGCTCCATTTTTAATTGCTCTTATGGCATAAGTATTTTTAGTTGGAGCATATCCATGTTTCTTTGTTGAGAAAGGTGGCAGCAGTTGTGCATAGCAGAAGCTAAACTGCAGTATAAATCTCACCTACCTAGAAAAATTTTTCCTTTGAAAAAGAAAGAGCAAACATAGAAAATTATCTTCAAATGGGAAAAAAAAAATTTTCGCCACTTTGTGTAAAGCAGACTCTAAAAAGACAATGGTAGCCCTTATTCACAAATAGGTTTTTGAGTATCAGGGTTAGGATTAGAGCACTGGATCCGGGGGGGGAAGGGCCCCGTTCCCGGGGAGCACAATTCTAGAGGGGAAGAAACTTCCTGGCTGAGTGCCTACAGCCTGGACACAGCAGATTTGAACTGCAAGCTCTTTCAGAATTGCCCCTGTCCTTGGGTGCTTACACCTAGCTAACTATAAAACAGTCGTGGTTACAGATACTGGAGGATTTAAAGTGCAGTTGTGTTCTCTGAACTGTAAGAGCTTGCTGGAGCGTGGGCAACCCCATAAGGCAGTGGTCCATTCTGTTCCTCCACTGGGGCGCGAGTGAAACGCTCCGCATCACACACTGAGCCAGGGCATTCTGCTGCTGCATAAGGAAGCAGACTGATAAAAGTGGAACCTGTTTCATAAATCAGTTATAGATGTCTTATATAATAAAGAGCAAAGTGCCTTTTAACTAGAATTTCCTTCCCTTCAGGGTGATCAGCTATGAAGAAGGGAAAGCGCTAGCAGAGTCATGGAATGCAGCTTTTTTGGAATCTTCTGCTAAAGAAAATCAGGTCTGTATTTTTTGGTTTTGCACTGCGTTTCGTCAGTTGCAGGCATTTGTTCATAGTGTTTGCCACCAGCTTATTGCACTGTTTGCTCTCTATTCTTCCACCATTTCTAACATCGACATAGGAAGGTAGTGTTAGTTCAGTCAGTATTCTGCTTAAGGTGGGACCTGGAATTTTTGTAGGATAAACAGAAGTTACTGTAAAGGAAATGCTACCTTTGTGAACTTACATTACTATTTTTGTTTTATATTAAAAGCTGGTACAGAAATAAGTTCAGACATAGAAAAGAAACCGGAATGATTTTAAATCACTTTGGCAGTGACTTTGAACCTGCACCTCCCCTGTTCTGTAGGGTGAAACACAGCAAGAGGTGAATATGTTGTTTTTAACACAGAAACTATTAAGAGCCATTTTACAGACATTAATTACCAATTTGAGTCCTGTGGATGTCCCTTTAAAGTCATGCCTGGGAAAGGATGTTGGTTCTACGTCAGAAGGCTTCGTGCTCCTCTGTCCTCTTCCTCCCATGGCTTTAATTTAGACACAAGGCCCAACGTGGTCTTACTGACCTCTGTAGTCTCCATTTTGGCCAGCACAGTGTTTTTGTATCTAGGAGGTGCTCAGTCAACCCAGGTATCCCTTGGTATTCACATCTCTGTCCCTGCGTTCAGGTAATGAGGGATATCACATCTGTGCAGTTGGTTCCCAAGTTCCAGATAACAAGGGATTCATCAGAATCCCTCCAGTTCCTGGGTGCAGATGGTCAGAATGCAGGTAACAAGAGTTGGTACAGTAAGGGATACCTGTATTTTTGTAATTAAATTAAATCAAACATTTATTTGTGACTAATCTAGCCTTAAGATCTTGAACCCGTCTCATTTTAGAATTGAGGAGTTTATGACCCAAAGAGGTAAATGACACTTCTAAGATCACTTTATACTTTATATGGTCTAAGAATTAGGACCAAATTTTAAATCTAACCCAAATTTAGTCCTCTTTCTGTACACCATGCTTTATCGTGGATGGGAAGAGGGGCCTAGTGCATGACCAAAGTATAGCAGAGATTAAAGTGTTCTTGGGGAGAGAGAGTTTTTTCTGGGTCAGAGAATCTGTGTGTGAACCTTGATTGGAATCTGGTTCTAAAAACCCTAGTATAAAAGACATTTAGTAGTGTTGATGTTCTTAGATCCAATGATGATACTGGGATTATGAAGAAAATGTCCTTATTCTTAGGAAATGCAATCCAAAGTATTTAGGGGCCAAGTTCCATCATGTCTGCAACTCACTTTCAAATGGGATGGATGGGTGGACAGAGAACAAGCAGGTACAGCAAGATGTTAACATTTACTGAATCCAGATCGAGGAGCTTGGTGGTTGTTGTGCAGTTCTTTGTATTTTTCTGTGTGCTTGAAAATTTGCATAATAAAAATGTGAAGGGGGTCAAAACATACGGACTCTCAGTTGTAAGATAAGTAAGTCCCAGGGATTTCACATACAGCATGGTGACTATAGTCAGCAATATTATATTGCATATTCGAACCCTGCTCAGAGGGTAGATCTAAAAAATTCTTATCATAAGAAAAAAACATTGTAAATACAGGTGACGAGTGTTAGCTAGACTTACATTGTGATCATTTTGCAATTTGTACACACATCAAATCATTGTTGTATTCTTGAAACTAACATATGTATATTTATGTTGTATCTCAGTTTTTTAAAATATTGAGGCAGGGAGTGCAGTTGAATGGGTCCAAGCTATCTTTGGGTCTGTTTGCTAACTTCACTGTGTTTCTCTTTGGTGAAAATCTGAGGGTCCTAGAGTAGCTATTCTCTGACAGTGTGAGTAAAGAGGCATCGTCATCGGTCTTGCTTTGCTAGTGGTGTGGGTTCACATGACCCCTGTGCAATGTGCCCTTATACATGGACCCTGAGTACATGTGTGACTGGGCATGTGTGGCAGGTACTTTGTTATTCTTCCAGCAACCTCAAAGGCATAGACACCTTACGGACCCTGCCTCCATGAAACTGAGAGGGGCTGTTGAGTAAGGCATGTGGCCTCAGCTTCATTTGTCTGTCTGAGAGTAACCTGTGATGATTGGCTTAAAATATATTTTTTGGGTCTTGGGATGCAGGCCTTTTCTCTGTCTAGTTTATGTGACATTTTACTATGTGTGAGGGTTTTAGTGTGGCCCTGGGTTTACCCTTTAGTCTCTGGGTCTCCTTTGAAAGGGAGTGTATATGCTGCTTTTTGAGTACCCAGATAGAAGGTGAATTGTGTGGAAGGCCTAAAGTTAAAATGAAAAAATTTCAACTACTATAATTCTTTTAGGTTTTGATAAATAATTGCAAATTCATCTGATGTTAAAAATATGAAAGAAGTTAAGGGTCATTCCTATATAGTAGCCTCAAACATCTTCAGCCAGACGAGCTCGAGGTCGAATGGGCCAACGGACATTAGTGTAGTCCCTGTGTGCTCTAGCGCAACTGTCAGATCAACGGGTACCTTATTGGACAAGAACTGAATCCTTGAAGGCAAAAAGATTCCTGTACGCAGATTAAGAAAACACAACAGCGACATGCATACGCTTGGAAAGCAGTGGTCCTGACCCATTTGCTTAAAGGCAGGGCTTGGCGTTCCCAGCTCCCCATGTGTCTCATCAGGCCCCCCGCTCACCTTGTCTTAGAATGTGTGAAGGGAATCAGGTGGGAGAGGTCAAGTCATGCTCATCCCTGACATAAGAGCTGTGTGTGGTTCCAGTGCACCCGTGCGTGAACACTCACTGTTAGTTTGGTAGTGAGATGGCGAATTGGTCTGTGGTATAGAAAGACATGCACATCGATAGTCATGTGATCAGAGGCCAGTCTGTGTGAACTGTTTAAATTTTTTATTGGTAAATTTCAAGTATAGCTTGTTCATAATTTATTTACCAAAAATCCAGTATTTTAAAATAAACCGTCATAAGTGGAGTTCAGTCAATTTCATTGCTAACAAAGGGCTTGGTAGTAAAAAATTATCAAGTCGATGAGAATATTGTACTTGGAAAGGTTTACGGGTCTGGTTTATTTACTGTGGGGGCCTTCAGCTATGTTTCAGCACATTGATGAAAGAGAATATACTTAGATCACACAGATAATCAAGGAGAGGTCTAAGATTTATCTAGAAAGCCAGTTCCAGGCACACTGTATTCTCTTGGTAAGAGTGTGACATGTGTTTTTGCAGACATTTTTCTGTGCTTTTTTGGGGTGAAATCATTTATTTGCGTAATGGGAAAAGAGGAGACTTGCTGAAGCAAGTCCTTGGTTAGACAAGAGGAGTGAGACCTGGGCCAGCTTTAGCTTCTTTAGGAGCGCCTCATCCGCACGAAAAGGAGCCAGAGCAGAGGGCCCGGACTCGAGGGGCTGGTCAGCGTGGCGGACGGAGCGAAGTAGAGCTCTTGAGACTGCTGCTTCTGCTCCCAGTGTTCAGCTGAGTGAGAGTGGGGACGAGCTTGAGGCTGAAGGAAAAGGCATGAGACCTTCTGGAGGCAGGGGAACAGGACTGGGGAGTATAGTTGGACTGCTGGGCAGTGGCGAAGGCCCCCTTTAAATTCAGGGTGCTGGAGCTAAAGTGAGACCACTTGGCCGCATGTGTCTCCTTGGGCCGTGCTGGCACCCAACTGGCGAACCTTGGCAGAGAAGGGGGTGAAGGGTGGCAGTAGCCCGCAGAAGCTGCACTATCCAGGGAGAAGAGTGAGGACCAGAAGTGGTTAAGGGGCAGGGAAAAATACAAATCAAGGCCACGGATCCCTGTGGGGTTGAGACCAAGAAAAAGTCAGAAGGAAGCTGGGTATGGGGTACTCCACACCGGTGATGGAAAAGATGTGGTTTTGGCTCATCACAAGATGTAGGCACTGCCCCTCAAGGCTTTGGAGAACAGGGGCCTTTCCCGACTATCACATGAGTTTAATGGACAGGGACTGACGGTTGGTCTGAGAGGATCTCCCGCCCAAAAGGAGTGACTGGAGGGCTGGTAGGGTTGCCCGGGGGTCTGAGAGGCCGAGGCCTGGAAAGACAGGTCATCAGAGGGAAGGACACAGGTCTGAGCATGGTGTTCGAGACAGTGATGCTGTTCCAGAAGGAAGAGGGGGAAGACAGCTTTGTGTGGCCTGAAAGAATCGGGGCTCAAAGGAGACGTCTGTCACGGCTTAGAGGCAAAGCCCGAGGGCTTTTGGGAGGTGGGAGGAAAGACAGTGAGAAGTGAGAGGCGCCCCTGGGAAAGGGCTGCGGGGACGGTGCTGAGGCTGATGAGGGCCCGCTGGGGAGGGGCAGACTGGCACTAGCCCTGAGGGCTGAGCAGGTGGGACAGGGCGGTCAGGACGAGGACCCCGGGGCTGCCTGTAGGGACCGGGTTCAGAAGCGCGCTAGGAAGTCCATGCGGTCTCCGACAGCTGGCTCTGGGGTGGGGATGGCATGGGGCCCGAGGCTCCTGCAGCTCTGGGGCCACCTTCCCGGCTGTCACACCCGACTCCATCTGCAGGAGGGACACGGGGCTGGCAGTGGCCTCCCCACCTGCTGGCAGTGGAAGCGCTGGGTCCACATCAGCAATGATACACTCGGTTTTCTCTTTGCTTTTCAGACTGCTGTTGATGTTTTTAGAAGGATAATTTTGGAGGCAGAAAAAATTGATGGAGCTGCTTCACAAGGGAAGTCTTCCTGCTCGGTGATGTAATTCTTCCACAGAACCTGAGGACACTGGGAGTCTGGCCTACCTGGAGCAGCAAACTGCTCGTCATCTGAGACAAACTGCTTCTTTCTTCTTATGTTAACCTGAAAGATTTCATTTGGGTCAGAGCTTTTTCCCACCCCCCCCACCCCCTTTCAGATTATGTTAAACTCTGACTCTGTCCAAATGAGTTCACTTCCATTTTCAAATTTTAAGCAATCATATTTTCAATTTATATTGTATTTCTTAATATTATGACCAAGAATTTTATCGGCATTAATTTTTCAGTGTAGTTTGTTGTTTAAAATAATGTAATCAAAATGATACATATTGTTACACTACTATCAACTAGGCTTGGATATATCAGTGTTTCTTTCATTGTGTTAAATGTATACTTGTAAATAAAATAGCTGCAAACCTTAATCCCTTGTGCTACTTAGCGTGGCTTTTAAAGAAGAAAACCTTGTCCCCCTGAGGGTTTCTTTCCCAGCCTTCAGGATGGCTCTGGGCTGGACTCTGGGAACCGGCCAACCGTGTGGCCACGGTGGGGTGCAGTACCCACAGGGCCCGCTGACCACAGGGGTGCCACTGACGGTGGGCTGTCAGGGAGAGGGCATGAGGTGGGGTGGATCCTGATCACCTCAAGCTGAGTGGCCCTGGGAGTCTGTGACGGAAGCTGGTCCCCTCTAGCTCCTCAGCCCCCGCCTCGCCTGTGCTCCTTGCAGGTGGGACTGCAGTGGTCGCCTAGCAGGTCCTCTTTGTCACCCTCTGGCTTGTCTGTTAGTCACTTGTGTCACCTTGTGCTTACCTTGACATCTGGGGCAGACAGGATCAGGTTTAGGAAGTAGATCGCTGGTCGCCATCCCAAAGCACCCAGCAGTTTCACGGGTGGGGAACGTTGCCCAGCGTGTCCCGTGTAGGGGCCTCGTCGGCCTCCTTCAGACGCAGACCACATGCCTCCTGCTCTGGCGCCTCGACTGGAGGTCAGACTTCAAGTTGAGTGTTGTATTTTAAATGATGCCCCTTCACAGCTGAAACTTCACAGGGCCATTTCTACAGATAAGCAGACATTACTGACTATTAATAAAATATAAATTTGCTTTGTAAGTGATTTTTAAAGAAAAACTTTTTAGAACATGCCATGATTTTGGATCTTTTAAGTAATTTTGTTTTGTCATTCCAGGGTGAAATTTGAGCCTTAGAAGACCTCTACCAAGTACTTTTTAAGTAAACAAACAAGATTTGACACTACAGTATTGTTATTTATTGTCCAGGTTTATTCTTAGACCTAAACTGCGTATCAGTCAGCACTCAATGTCTGAGACTACATGAAGTCTGGGTCCAGTTCATCCAGCCAACCATCTTCATCTGAAGTTATTTCTGTGTAAGTGGGAACTTTTGGTAGCATATCCATACTGGAAACTAAAGGTCACCTCGCACAGAGTGGTCCCCAGAGGACTGGATCTCCTATGTGGAAGTTATGTGGTATTCCTCATCTGGTGCAGTTCACCCCATCACTCGGATGTTCACTGAGCACCTAACCACGTGCTGGACGTAGTCCTAAGTGCCGTGAACACATCGGAGGAATCTGCACCCCTGGAGAGCTCACATCTGACCTCGCACCGTGGAGATGGCCCAGTCCTGCCCTGCAGCACGGCGATCCCATGCAGACACTGACTTGATGGGTTGAGCATGTTAGCTGTTAGGTGCTGCCAGCATTGCTGCAGCTCAGGATTTTCAGTGATGGGCAAGCTCACTGCCTCCAGACCATAGTACAGGCCAGTGGTAGTACCCATTGCACACGAATGTCCTGGTGTGCTTCACATTCACGCTGTGGGGAAGGTGCCACCCTGTGTGTGGGAGAGGAATCCACCTTTGAGGTGTCAGCTGTTGGTTAAGGCCAGTAGCCAAGTTCACTCTGTGCCTCGTATAGGTTTGCTAAGATGATACCTGAGCTTCTGAAGAAATTCTCATTACTGCCAGGTTTGACTTAAATTCTTGTTTAGTACCGTGTTTCATCACTCTTCTAAGACTTTTT